TTGTAAATATGAAGACACTTTAGCCTAAAGATAATTAAATTAGAAATGTTTTTTTTTAAACTTTGAAAAAAAAAAGATGATGGCCCAACGTGTGAAAAAGATGGCGCAAATATATTTACTACATCTATTAAAATGGGCCTAACATTTATGACAGCTAAAAATGGGTAAAGTAAAAAATGCCGCGTTGATTTTGTGTTTTCTTAGTTTGATGTTTTTCAATTTCGCTGGATTAGCGAATATTTGGACTTGTCTCGACATCATTCATCAGGCTGTTTGTTTTTATAAACCCCAGTTCAATTCTGCTCCAATTTTCTGATGGAATGACGAAAGGCTTTGTTGGGGTCGTGTACACGCGGATCTACCCCCTCCCTCCCCTCACCTGGGGCGGCACGCGGATCTACCCCCTCCCCTCACCTGGGGCGGCATCAGGTGGTCTAGATGAAAGGCAGTTCGTGGAGGGGGGGCGGCGTGGGGTGGGGTGGGGTTTACTTCATACAAGGGTAAGTGACATAACACTGGTAGTGACACAGGACGACAGCACAGGTACATGTGCAGTTATTGGTGACACAGGACAGTACAGGTACATGTGTAGTTATTGGTGACACAGGACGACAGCACAGGTACATGTGTAGTTATTGGTGACACAGGACGACAGCACAGGTACATGTGCAGTTATTGGTGACACAGGACAGCACAGGTACATGTGTAGTTATTGGTGACACAGGACGACAGCACAGGTACATGTGTAGTTATTGGTGACACAGGTCGACAGCACAGGTACATGTGTAGTTATTGGTGACACAGGACGACAGCACAGGTACATGTGTAGTTATTGGTGACACAGGACGACAGCACAGGTACATGTGTAGTTATTGGTGACACAGGACAGTACAGGTACATGTGTAGTTATTGGTGACACAGGACGACAGCACAGGTACATGTGTAGTTATTGGTGACACAGGACGACAGCACAGGTACATGTGTAGTTATTGGTGACACAGGACGACAGCACAGGTACATGTGTAGTTATTGGTGACACAGGACGACAGCACAGGTACATGTGTAGTTATTGGTGACACAGGACGACAGCACAGGTACATGTGTAGTTATTGGTGACACAGGACGACAGCACAGGTACATGTGTAGTTATTGGTGACACAGGTCGACAGCACAGGTACATGTGTAGTTATTGGTGACACAGGACGACAGCACAGGTACATGTGTAGTTATTGGTGACACAGGACGACAGCACAGGTACATGTGCAGTTATTGGTGACACAGGACAGTACAGGTACATGTGTAGTTATTGGTGACACAGGACGACAGCACAGGTACATGTGTAGTTATTGGTGACACAGGACGACAGCACAGGTACATGTGCAGTTATTGGTGACACAGGACAGCACAGGTACATGTGTAGTTATTGGTGACACAAGACGACAGCACAGGTACATGTGTAGTTATTGGTGACACAGGTCGACAGCACAGGTACATGTGTAGTTATTGGTGACACAGGACGACAGCACAGGTACATGTGTAGTTATTGGTGACACAGGACGACAGCACAGGTACATGTGTAGTTATTGGTGACACAGGACGACAGCACAGGTACATGTGTAGTTATTGGTGACACAGGACGACAGCACAGGTACATGTGTAGTTATTGGTGACACAGGACGACAGCACAGGTACATGTGTAGTTATTGGTGACACAGGACAGCACAGGTACATGTGTAGTTATTGGTGACACAGGACGACAGCACAGGTACATGTGTAGTTATTGGTGACACAGGACGACAGCACAGGTACATGTGTAGTTATTGGTGACACAGGACGACAGCACAGGTACATGTGTAGTTATTGGTGACACAGGACGACAGCACAGGTACATGTGTAGTTATTGGTGACACAGGACGACAGCACAGGTACATGTGTAGTTATTGGTGACACAGGATAGCACAGGTACATGTGTAGTTATTGGTGACACAGGACGATAGCACAGGTACATGTGTAGTTATTGGTGACACAGGACGACAGCACAGGTACATGTGTAGTTATTGGTGACACAGGACAGCACAGGTACATGTGTAGTTATTGGTGACACAGGACGACAGCACAGGTACATGTGTAGTTATTGGTGACACAGGACGACAGCACAGGTACATGTGTAGTTATTGGTGACACAGGACGACAGCACAGGTACATGTGTAGTTATTGGTGACACAGGACGACAGCACAGGTACATGTGTAGTTATTGGTGACACAGGACGACAGCACAGGTACATGTGTAGTTATTGGTGACACAGGACGACAGCACAGGTACATGTGTAGTTATTGGTGACACAGGACGACAGCACAGGTACATGTGTAGTTATTGGTGACACAGGACGACAGCACAGGTACATGTGTAGTTATTGGTGACACAGGACGACAGCACAGGTACATGTGTAGTTATTGGTGACACAGGACGACAGCACAGGTACATGTGTAGTTATTGGTGACACAGGACGACAGCACAGGTACATGTGTAGTTATTGGTGACACAGGATAGCACAGGTACATGTGTAGTTATTGGTGACACAGGACGATAGCACGGTACATGTGTAGTTATTGGTGACACAGGACGACAGCACAGGTACATGTGTAGTTATTGGTGACACAGGACAGCACAGGTACATGTGTAGTTATTGGTGACACAGGACGACAGCACAGGTACATGTGTAGTTATTGGTGACACAGGACGACAGCACAGGTACATGTGTAGTTATTGGTGACACAGGACGACAGCACAGGTACATGTGTAGTTATTGGTGACACAGGACGACAGCACAGGTACATGTGTAGTTATTGGTGACACAGGACGACAGCACAGGTACATGTGTAGTTATTGGTGACACAGGACGACAGCACAGGTACATGTGTAGTTATTGGTGACACAGGACGACAGCACAGGTACATGTGTAGTTATTGGTGACACAGGACGACAGCACAGGTACATGTGTAGTTATTGGTGACACAGGACGACAGCACAGGTACATGTGTAGTTATTGGTGACACAGGACGACAGCACAGGTACATGTGTAGTTATTGGTGACACAGGACGACAGCACAGGTACATGTGTAGTTATTGGTGACACAGGACGACAGCACAGGTACATGTGTAGACATTGAAATAGGGTGTGAGGTTGGTATAATTCTTCTGATGTTAAAACAAAAACATGCATGCTGGTTAGCTGTTTATGAGCTGACAGCATTAACCCTAATCTTAACTCCTTATTTCTTCTGTCTGTCTGTATATTTGTCCGTCTGTCTGTGTGTATATTTGTCCGTCTGTCTGTATGTATATTTGTCTCCTGAATATTTATACACGCCCATCAATACTGGTCCCTTACTTAAAGGTTTGGTTTGAACGTTCAGTGTACTGGGTTATGGTTAAGACGGCTATAAGACGGGCATAAGACGGGCATAAGTGGGCATAAGACGGGCATAAGACGGCCATAAGACGGGCATAAGACGGGCATAAGACGGGCATAAGTGGGCATAAGACGGCCATAAGACGGGCATAAGTGGGCATAAGACGGGCATAAGTGGGCATAAGACGGGCATAAGACGGGCATAAGACGGGCATAAGACGGGCATAAGACGGGCATAAGACGGGCATAAGACGGCCATAAGACGGGCATAAGACAGGCATAAGACGGGCATAAGACTGCCATAAGACGGCCATAAGACGGGCATAAGACGGGCATAAGACGGGCATAAGACGGGCATAAGATTGTGCATTAGGATTAGATTTAGTGTTCACTTATTGCGTAATGTAACAGATCAGGGCGTATACATTCTTGTACACACTGTTACATTCTTGTACACACACTAGCAATCATGTACACAATGTAACATCATTGTACACACTGTTACAATCTTGCACACAATACTGTAATCTTCTTGGACAAACTTATATTCTTGTACACAATTCTGTAAGCATCTTGTACACATACTTAAGTATGTCTTTAGTTTGCACAAGTCACCATTAGAATTAATTAAATTTTTTTTTCTGATTTCTGTAATTATATATCAGCTATTACATAATTATCAAAGGTCAAATCAAAAACTTCTTAAAATAATAGCTTATTATATAATACTTTCAGATTTGGTCTTAAAAATATGTCCCTAAACATTTGGCCGTAAAAATGTCTCTAAACATTTGGTCGTAAAGATGTCCCTAAACATTTGGTCGTAAAAATATGTCCCTTAACATTTGGTCGTAAAAATATGTCCCTTAACATTTGGTCGTAAAAATCTGTCCCTAAACATTTGTCCGTAAAAATATGTCTCTAAATATTTGGTCGTAAAGATGTCCCTAAACATTTGGTCGTAAAAATATGTCCCTTAACATTTGGTCGTAAAAATATGTCCCTTAACATTTGGTCGTAAAAATATGTCCCTAAACATTTGGTCGCAAAAATGTCTCTAAACATTTGGTCGTAAAAATATGTCCCTAAACATTTGTCCGTAAAAATATGTCTCTAAACATTTGGTCGTAAAGATGTCCCTAAACATTTGGTCGCAAAAATGTCTCTAACATTTGGTCGTAAAAATATGTTCCTAAACGTTTGTCCGTAAAAATGTCCCTAAACATTTGGTCGTAAAAATATGTCCATTAACATTTGGTCGTAAAGATGCTGTGCTCAACGACTAGACGAAATAGTTTAGTGCGATCTTACACTTGTCTTCATAAACACCCTGCCATATTTTGTCCTAAAGATTTGGTCCTAAAGATTTTGTCCTAAAGACTTGGTCCTAAAGATTTGGTCCTAGAGATTTGGTCCTAAAGATTTTGTCCTAAAGACTTGGTCCTAAAGATTTGGTCCTAAAGGTTTTGTCCTAAAGATTTGGTCCTAAAGATTTGGTCCTAAAGATTTTGTCCTAAAGACTTGGTCCTAAAGATTTGGTCCTAAAGGTTTTGTCCTAAAGATTTGGTCCTAAAGATTAGGTCCTACCTGGCTTGGTTGGGTTCCGTTTGATGGTCATCCACCGGAACGGCTTGCCGTGTATTGCCGGCTGGTTACTGCAGCCTTCAGCCTTCAGGGGAGCTGGAGGTGCCGGCGGATATCCATTTGTCATTTGTGATCCGGTTAAATGAGCCGGACCTGGACTTCCGGCTCCATATTTGACCGGCTCACCGGTACCGTATTTGTCAACAGTGGTTTGGTATCCAGAGCGTATGGTTATGTCTAGGAAGTTTGGCGTGTGTTGGGTGTGTTGCGTGTGTTGGGTGTGTTGCGTGTAGCAGTCAGTAGCCAAATCATGGCCCGAGTAGGTATTCCCCGTGGCCACACTGGCTGTGTGCTGGGGTGTGGCCTGCTGCTGATGGTGGTGGTGGTGGTGGTGAGCGCTGGGGATGTGGTAGCCGTGGGGAGCGGCTCGGTTGGTCAGACGGAGAGCTCCAGGAGAGCCGTAAGCTCCGAGCTGTTGGTTGCCGGCTGCCGGCAGCTCTCCGGCGCTACCCAGCTGAGGCGACAAGGACGAGTCACCGGTGTAGTAGCCGGCACAGCCTTGACCCGTGTCCAGGCTCCGGCCGTTGATGCCGTGAAAGCCGTAGATGTCGGGACTTGAACTGTAGGTGTTCTGGTAGCCGTGGTGTGAGTCAAGGTTACACAGCGTGTACTCAGCCTCACTGTGCATGCTGAGCAATCTTTTCCCCACCTGTTCCAATGTGCCGATGCTCTTGTCAATGAAAGCCAAGAGAAATCACCTGTCCTCGCTGGAGACAAATCTAGAATAAATGAAAGGAGAATTGGAGAAGGGAGGAATGGCAGGGCGGGACCACGTGATGATGGCGACCAATGAGAGAGCGAGTTGTCAGGGGGCGGGACCTGACAATTGACTGACGGCTAGGCGGATGTGGGAGCGACGGGTCGGGGACGAATGGTTCAGCAGGCAGTCAGATGCCGCGCACCCACCGGGGACTTAGGATAATTTATATCCCAACACCAGTATACTATACAGCTGCTCTGTACAGCTCATCTATACAGTAGCTCCATACAGCTCATATATATGTAAGTTGTGCATGCCAAATCAGTTTATGTACTATGCTATAATATATGTTCTAGAGAATTCTTCAAATTACAGTCGTTTATTGACTTGATTTAGTTCAATTTAAAACTTTGATTGAATTAGGTCTATAAATTGTATAGATTAAATTGGACTTTTATAGGCATATTGATTTTATTTTATAGATTTAATTGTAGACCTTTCAAACTATATCGAATTTGTTAATGTAATTTCGGGGCCAAATTGATTGATCTAATAGATAATTAATTAGATTAATTTTCAAGATATAGCCTGGTCAATCCAAAATGAAAGTTTAAAAAATATATCCTACACAGTTCTACTTGAGATCATCAGGCTTTTCTCACTAGCGAAGTCCCGTCATCTTAATTTGTAAGTCAGTTTCTTTCAGGCATCCGGGGAAGGGGACTCCCCCCCCCCCCCTCCCATCACGCCCGTGGAAGTTACAAAATAAATGTAGAAAAATAAAACATACTTTTAAACAGAGTCCCTTCCCCTCAAAGTCATTTTAACTACAAGACACCATTAGATGAAGTGTTTAGCTTACACAAGTCACCATTAGATGTCTTTAGCTTACACAAGTCACCATTAGATGAAGTGTTTAGCCTACACAAGTCACCATTAGAAGTCTTTAGCTTATACAAGTCACCATTAGATGACTTTATCTTACACAAGTCACCATTAGATGATGTATTTAGCTTACACAAGTCACCATTAGATGAAGTGTTTAGCTTACACAAGTCACCATTAGATGTCTTTAGCTTACACAAGTCACCATTAGATGTCTTTAGCTTACACAAGTCACCATTAGATGTCTTTAGCTTACACAAGTCACCATTAGATGTCTTTAGCTTACACAAGTCACCATTAGATGTCTTTAGCTTACACAAGTCACCATTAGATGAAGTATTTAGCTTACACAAGTCACCATTAGATGAAGTGTTTAGCCTACACAAGTCACCATTAGATGAAGTGTTTAGCCTACACAAGTCACCATTAGATGAAGTGTTTAGCTTACACAAGTCACCATTAGATGAAGTGTTTAGCTTACACAAGTCACCATTAGATGAAGTGTTTAGCTTACACAAGTCACCATTAGATGAAGTGTTTAGCTTACACAAGTCACCATTAGATGAAGTGTTTAGCCTACACAAGTCACCATTAGAAGTCTTTAGCTTATACATGTCACCATTAGATGACTTTATCTTACAAAAGTCACCATGAGATGTCTTTAGCTTACACAAGTCACCATTAGATGTCTTTAGCTTACACAAGTCACCATTAGATGTCTTTAGCTTACACAAGTCACCATTAGATGTGTTTAGCTTACACAAGTCACCATTAGATGTCTTTAGCTTAAACAAGTCACCATTAGATGTCTTTAGCTTACACAAGTCACAATTAGATGAAGTGTTTAGCTTACACAAGTCACCATTAGATGTCTTTAGCTTACACAAGTCACCATTAGATGAAGTATTTAGCTTACACAAGTCACCATTAGATGAAGTATTTAGCTTACACAAGTCACCATTAGATGAAGTCTTTAGCTTACACAAGTCACCATTAGATGTCTTTAGCTTACACAAGTCACCATTAGATGTCTTTAGCTTACACAAGTCACCATTAGATGAAGTATTTAGCTTACACAAGTCACCATTAGATGTGTTTAGCTTACACAAGTCACCATTAGATGAAGTATTTAGCTTACACAAGTCACCATTAGATGTGTTTAGCTTACACAAGTCACAATTAGATGTCTTTAACTTACACAAGTCACCATTAGATGAAGTCTTTAGCTTACACAAGTCACCATTAGATGAAGTCTTTAACTTACACAAGTCACCATTAGATGAAGTGTTTAGCTTACACAAGTCACCATTAGATGAAGTCTTTAGCTTACACAAGTCACCATTAGATGAAGTCTTTAACTTACACAAGTCACCATTAGATGAAGTGTTTAGCTTACACAAGTCACCATTAGATGTCTTTAGCTTACACAAGTCACCATTAGATGAAGTCTTTAACTTACACAAGTCACCATTAGATGACTTTAGCTTACACAAGTCACCATTAGATGAAGTATTTAGCTTACACAAGTCACCATTAGATATCTTTAGCTTACACAAGTCACCATTAGATGTCTTTAGCTTACACAAGTCACCATTAGATGAAGTGTTTAGCTTACACAAGTCACCATTAGATATCTTTAGCTTACACAAGTCACCATTAGATGTCTTAAGCTTACACAAGTCACCATTAGATGAAGTGTTTAGCTTACACAAGTCACCATTAGATGTCTTTAGCTTACACAAGTCACCATTAGATGTCTTTAGCTTACACTAGTCACCATTAGATGACTTTAGCTTACACAAGGCACCATTAGATGACTTTAGCTTACACAAGTCACCATTAGATGTCTTTAGCTTACACAAGTCACCATTAGATGTCTTTAGCTTACACAAGTCACCATTAGATGTCTTTAGCTTACACAAGTCACCATTAGATGAAGTGTTTAGCTTACACAAGTCACCATTAGATGTCTTTAGCTTACACTAGTCACCATTAGATGTCTTTAGCTTACACAAGTCACCATTAGATGATGTGTTAAGCTTACACAAGTCACCATTAGATGAAGTGTTTAGCTTACACAAGTCACCATTAGATGTCTTTAGCTTACACAAGTCACCATTAGATGTCTTTAGCTTACACAAGTCACCATTAGATGTCTTTAGCTTACACAAGTCACCATTAGATGTCTTTAGCTTACACAAGTCACCATTAGATGTCTTTAGCTTACACAAGTCACCATTAGATGAAGTGTTTAGCCTACACAAGTCACCATTAGATGTCTTTAGCTTACACAAGTCACCATTAGATGTCTTTAGCTTACACAAGTCACCATTAGATGTCTTTAGCTTACACAAGTCACCATTAGATGTCTTTAGCTTACACAAGTCACCATTAGATGAAGTGTTTAGCCTACACAAGTCACCATTAGATGTCTTTAGCTTACACAAGTCACCATTAGATGAAGTGTTTAGCTTACACAAGTCACCATTAGATGTCTTTAGCTTACACAAGTCACCATTAGATGTCTTTAGCTTACACAAGTCACCATTAGATGTCTTTAGCTTACACAAGTCACCATTAGATGAAGTGTTTAGCCTACACAAGTCACCATTACATGAAGTCTTTAACTTACACAAGTCACCATTGGATGTCTTTAGCTTACACAAGTCACCATTAGCTGTCTTTAGCTTACACAAGTCACCATTAGATGAAGTGTTTAGCTTACACAAGTCACCATTAGATGTCTTTAGCTTACACAAGTCACCATTAGATGTCTTTAGCTTACACAAGTCACCATTAGCTGTCTTTAGCTTACACAAGTCACCATTAGATGTCTTTAGCTTACACAAGTCACCATTAGCTGTCTTTAGCTTACACAAGTCACCATTAGATGAAGTGTTTAGCTTACACAAGTCACCATTAGCTGTCTTTAGCTTACACAAGTCACCATTAGATGAAGTGTTTAGCTTACACAAGTCACCATTAGATGAAGTGTTTAGCTTACACAAGTCACCATTAGATGTCTTTAGCTTACACAAGTCACAATTAGATGTCTTTAGCTTACACAAGTCACCATTAGATGAAGTCTTTAGCTTACACAAGTCACCATTAGATGAAGTGTTTAGCTTACACAAGTCACCATTAGATGTCTTTAGCTTACACAAATCACCATTAGATGTCTTTAGCTTACACAAGTCTCCATTAGATGAAGTGTTTAGCTTACACAAGTCACCATTAGATGATGTGTTTAGCTTACACAAGTCACCATTAGATGTCTTTAGCTTACACAAGTCACCATTAGATGTCTTTAGCTTACACAAGTCACCATTAGATGTGTTTAGCTTACACAAGTCACCATTAGATGAAGTATTTAGCTTACACAAGTCACCATTAGATGTGTTTAGCTTACACAAGTCACCATTAGATGAAGTGTTTCATCATTAACACACCGAGATCAATCAACCCACTCACCCACCCACTCACTCACCCACTCACTCATCCACCCACTCACTCATCCACCCACCCACCCACTCACCCACTCACTCACCCACCCACTCACTCACTCACCCACTCACCCACCCACCCACTCACTCACTCACTCACTCATCCACTCACCCACCCACTCACTCACCCACCCACCCACTCACTCACCCACTCACCCACCCACCCACTCACTCACCCACTCACTCACCCACCCACCCACTCACTCACCCACCCACCCACCCACTCACTCACTCACCCACTCACTCACCCACCCACCCACTCACTCACCCACCCACCCACTCACTCACCCACTCACTCACCCACCCACTCACTCACTCACCCACTCACCCACCCACCCACTCACTCACCCACCCACCCACTCACTCACCCACCCACCCACTCACTCACCCACCCACCCACCCACCCACTCACTCACCCACCCACCCACCCACCCACCCACCCACTCACTCACCCACCCACTCACTCACCCACCCACCCACTCACCCACCCACTCACTCACTCACCCACCCACCCACCCACTCACCCACCCACTCACCCACTCACTCACCCACCCACCCACTCACTCACTCACCCACCCACTCACTCACCCACCCACTCACCCACCCACCCACTC